CAAAGTAAATCAATTTGGATTGATTTGGATAATTAAATTCTTTCACAAAAGATAAAAAAAAAAGTTGTTATACTGCAATAACAACTTTTCATATTATATAAATGAATACGCTACAAAGATTATACCACAAGTATTTAGGAAATTTACCTTGTAGAAAAGATCAATCTTAGTTACAGAGCAAAAACCAGTCTTTTTGGTATCACATTTAAGACACCAAATGCAGATTTAAAAAATGCTGCTAATCCATTTTTTATTTTCTTTCTTTTATAAGTCATGCCAGCAAAATAGGGCTTTGGAATTCTATAGTAACAGTGGCTTTCCACTAAATAGTATTATAAGAAGTATGACTTACTTTGATTACACATCAGCTCATGAAAATGTTACTTTTGTGAGGAAATTTTGAGTAAAATGTCTTCTTTGAAAGAGGACATTAAAAAGACCTGAAAGAACCAGAAACACAAGACAATGAAAGACAAAAAACCAGTACCATTAATTTATACAGGTTAGAAGATGTGGGAAGAATATTTTTATGTTGGTCATTAATGAAGTACTGTTCCATTTTAACCTTAAAACAGTGCACTTGTCCACACTCTGGAATGTGATAGATCTTGCTACTCTAAAGGGTAAATCATGAAGAAAGAAAGATTCTCATGTACATTGCAAAGGATTCTGAAAAAGACTCTTTGAGTTCAAAGCAGAACCAGAAGGGTTTTTACAGTAGTCTTGTAAGTCACACATGAGTTTTTCCAGAGTGACAGGACTCATGTTAAAATGTATACCTGCTGTTTCCAAAAACAATAAAAAATCTTTACAATGTGGTAAGTCCCAAGTGTCACTTAGAAAAGGAAAAAGACATAGAGTTTTATAATATTCCTTGAATAGGTACTTATTTATTTATAGTTTTTGTTAATCCTCACCCAAGGATATTTTTTTTACTGATTTTTTTTTTTTTTAAGAGAAAGTGGAAGAGAGGGAGAGACACAGGGAGAGAGAGAGAAAAAAGAGAGAGAGAAACATGGATGTGAGAGAGAGACATACTGGTTGCCTCCCAAATGTGTCCCAAGTGGGGCAGAGACCAAACCTGCAAACCAGGTATGTGCCCTTGACTGGAAATCAAACCTGAGATCCTCTGGTCCAAAGGCTGACACTCGAAGCACTGAGCCATGCTGGCCAGGGATGAACAAGTATTTTTCAAAAAATATTTGAGTTCCTACTATGTGAAGGTATCACAATTGGCTCCCCAGGTAATATGAAGATCAATAGGATAGAAGTCTTACTTTCAGGGAGATTACAATCTGTTAGAGATTCTAAGATGTTCACAGATAGTTCTATTAAACAAAGCATTCAAAGAATCTATTAGCGGCATTAAATGCCACAGAAGAACAGAGGAGGAGGATGCAACTCTTGTTAGGGGTACACAGGGAAAATTTTATGAAAAAGGTGAAAGAGTAGTAAACTATTAAGGAGAAAAACAGAGTAAACTGGAAATGTATGACATGAGCTGGAGGACTTTAAAAATAAGGAATTAGGGAGGCTGAAGAACCATTGAAGACTGTGATTAGGAAAGTAACATTAGCCAAATAGACCTTTAGGGAAGATTCATCTGAAGGTGGTTGAAAATGAATTAAAGTAGGAAAAAACTATAGATAGGGAGACCTGTTTTAGATCAATCTAGTAAGAAGGATAAAAGGAGGTCAGGTACCTAGACATTATACTGTGATTTATAATAAATATATTTTTTGTGTTTTTCCCTTTTATGGACAGAGAAGTGCTCCTAAAACCCTTGGAATTTCCTAAGTGATAAGAACAATAAAGGTGTCTTTTGTTATGTTAATGAGGTGACTTTCTGACCACATCTAAGGATGGAGGCTAGTTTCCAAGAGAGCCCATAATGTGAGTCAAGGGCTGGAACTTTAATCCACTCTGATCTTCAAGGGGAGGGAGGACTGGAGGTTGAGTCAATCTCCATTGGTCAATGATTTAATTAACCATGCCTATAAAATAAAGCCTTCCGAAACCCTCAAATGGACTAAGTTTGGAGACCTTCTGGTTGGCGAACAAACCAAGATGCCCACCTGGAGATGGCCCACCTGGAGAAGGCATGGAAACTCTGCCCTGTTTCCCCACATATTCTGTCTTGTGCATCTCTTCCCTTTGGCTGTTCCTGAGTTATATTCTTTTTTAATAAACCAGTAATCTAGTGAGCAATTGGGTTTCCTGAATTCTGTTGGTTGCTCTAGCAAATTAATCAATCCAAGGATGGGGTTGTGGGAACTTCTAATCTGTAGCTGGTTGGTCAGAGAAATAGGTAACAATCTGGACTTGTGACTAGTGTCTAAAGAGGGGAGAGTGGGGAGTCTTGTAGGACTGAACCCTTAACCTGTGGAATCCGATGCTCTCTCTGAGCAGATAATATCAGAATTGAGTTGAATTGTAGGACACCCGGCTGGTGTCTGGTGTCTGAGCGTTGCTTAGCATTGTGCTTGGCACATAATAAGCACTCAGTACTTTGGCTGAATACAGGACAAGAAGTTGAAGGTGAGGAAGGGTTGGGTATTGTGTTTACTTGTATATTCATCACATTTCTGCCAGGATTGGTTATGCAAATATGTCCACTGAACCTCTGGTGAAGAGATGGCTTTTCTTTCATGACAAGTATGTAAATAATATCCCAAACAACATATTTCCTAATAGGAAATTCACGTTATAAGATATTAATGATCTCCATTATTGGCTAAATGGTTCCTGTCTGAAAATAAATTATTTTTCTTAAGAATAAATGCCCTGAAGTAGCAATAAATCTAACCTTTCCTTTTCTTAAAAGATACAACCCATACTTCTCTTGACTCGTTCACTTAATTTCTCTATATGTAACTTCCTAGGCCAAATAAAAGGGTAAGGCAGGAACAAGGCCACACTCTTTCACAGGATATATCTTTAGGAAGGAGAGCATTTGAAAGAAACCTACTGATTAACTTACTATTAAGTTTATTGACTTATTACAGAAGGTGGTAGTGTTATGATAGCTGCTTATTTAAAATGTCATTGTTGCAAAGCAAATGTATAACAAAAAGCCATATCGAAGTATATAATTCAATTCACTTGATGGACTATGTATTTGTTGACTGTGACCAATTTCCTGATTTTTCTCCCCAGCCCAGTTTTATTGAGATATAACTAACATGTAATATTATAAAAATTTAAGGTGTACATGATGATTTGATATATGTATATATTGCACGGTGATTAGCATAAGTTTAGTTAACGTCTTTGATGGATTTAAAAATATGTTTTTATTTATTTTTTAGAGAGAGGAAAAAGGAGAGGGAGAGAGAGGGAGAAAGAGAGAGAGAGAGAGAGAGAGAGAGGGAAACATCTATTGGCTACATTCTGCACAACCCCTACTGGGTATGGAACCCCCAACCTGGGCATGTGTCCTGACCAAAATTAAACCGGTGGCCTCTCAGTGTATGGGATGATACTCAACTAACTAAACCACACCAGCCAGGGCACTTGATGGATTTTTAATTTGATCATATTTCCCAAAGCCTAAAAGGTAATTCATTGGCAATAAAGTCATATATTGTGATATACAGTTGTCCCTCGTTTATCGCGGTTAATCAGTTCCAGACTTGAGCGGTTGCACCTGGCATCGAAGGATTCCTGGGGTGCTCGAATACATAGGCCTACAGTCCATACGTACAGTCGTTTTAATTGTAATTGTAGTGCACAGGTGTATAATTGACTCAGACAACCGAGTGCACGCTGTATCATTTTCACTGTCTTGATCAACTTTTTAATGAATATATTAAAAAAAAAAGTGATAGAATGAAGCTGAGAAAGTAGAAGCATGAAGTGGCGAGGGACGACTGTATTGCTTTGGAACTTGCTACATTTAAAGACAAAAGATACGTAGAGCTCCTCCCCCACCCCCACCACATTAAAAAAACAAACATGAAAATAGTTCACATGGAGACCTGTGCTTGAATTAAGACATATTTTGTGTTATTATGGAGTTCTTAATCTGGCTGAGGACAAAAATACACAAAAAGTAAATTTTTATGCTACAATATAAATCAGGTTCTATAGGAAAACAGAAGTGCAAATGTTTATGGCCTGTTCCCTCATTGAGGGTTTAAGTTAGGGTGCCAAAGAGGAGAGGAGAGAGGTGATACTGGAAAGTAAATCTGGTCAGAGGTACATCGTAAGCAACCAAGAGTCAGAATAGGCTTTGAAGTATGCACCCCAGTCAGATCATGTGCATATTTTAGAAACATCACCAGCTAACAATGGTAGGAGAGACTGGGATATCACTCAAGAAGATACAGTTCAAGTATGAGTTTATCGGCAGTAATTGCAATGAACTGAGAGCAGTTGTCACTCTGTTAAGTATTTATACCCTACTAAGCACTCGACAACTTTATGCTTTCTTTTTTTTTTTTTTTTTTAAATCCTCACCAGAGGACACTTTTTGATATTTTGCTCAGATAGAGTGGGAGGGGGTGAGAGAGAAACATCGATGTGAAAGGGACACATCGAGTGGTTGCCACCCACACGACCCTGCTGAGGACAAACTGCAACCGAGGTCCGTGCCCTTAGCGGAACCGAACCCTAGTCTCTCCGGATCGCAGGCCGTCGCTCTAACCGCTGAACCAAACCGGTCAGGGCTTCAACTTTCTTCTTCAGCGCAATCAACCTTTCAGAGATGCTGAGCTAGTAAATCGAACAACAGGATCTGAACTTAGGTTCCAACTCTTAAAACTGGCACATACTTCTCAGAGAGAGATAATTAAAGTTTGCAATTAAGGCCATAGCTGTGGAACAGAGAGGACGTAATCACCCCAAGAGATGCTTTAGGAATAGAATCAAAGGAACTTGGGGGGACAAGTTGGCTTTGGGTAGAGAGGGACAGGATTTGAGGGAGCAGAATTGGTGGGTTTTTGTTTGTTTGGTTGGTTAGTTAACTGACTCTGCTCCGAAGTGCAGGGAGGGGAAAGACCATGAATTTGTTTCAGATAGATGGTGTTGAGTTGCCTGTGGGCAACCTCCGGGGAGATGGCCAGTGTGGAGCTGTAAGTACGGCTCGGAAACCCTGGAAAGAAATGAGATCCGAGACGAAGTGACGAGGAGTCTTGAATATGACTGAAATCGCAAAAGTGAATGGAATAAACCAGACTCGAAGAAGGCACCACCGGTCAAGTAGTTTTTAAATTGGAGATGTTAGGGGGTGATGTGGACTAAGAAGATAGAGGCAAGAACCAGGTTAGAGTAATGTCAGGGAAGAAGCTGAGATCCCAGGAGGGAGAAAGGGTTCCATTGAAAATGTCAAATGCTGCGGAAAACCAACCAACCACACAACTTTCTAACAGTGAAAGAATGTGGCTTCACACATAGCCACCCGAGTGAGCTTGAAACTGCCCAACCAGGGCTACTCACAGCTCCTCGACTTGCGTGTCTGTTCCATGAGAAGCAGTTTCCCACTCGCGTTCTCCCTCATCGCCTTACCCTTTCCTCCCCTCTCCCACGGGGAGGATAATTCTCCTCCACGCGTCAGTGTTTGGGGACTTGCTTCCCACTCCTCTCCCTTCCTGCGGCTTACTGTTGCCATGGAGACCTTCATTTCATTAACCAACCGAGGGGCAGGGCAACGCTAGCGGGAAGAAGACCCGCGGGAAGAGCGGAGCCGAGCGAGGGCCCGCAGGCCAGCCGCCAGGTGGGGGCGACCCCGCGCGTCCTGAGCCGCCGCACCCCGCGCCGCCTCCGCGTCTCCGGGCCCGGTCGCCGCGCGCAGCACTCGGAGCGCGGAGCTGGCAAAGCGCGTGGGGCGCGGGCCGGAGTCAGTCTCGGGGGGCGTCCTGGAGGGTTGCAGGCGCCCCGGCTCCCGCAGGCTCCTCGGCTGCGCGTCCTCCGCGCCTTGACTTCCAGGTCTCTGCTCCTCCTAATCCGCTAGTCTAACCACCCTTAACCCCCCAATCTTTCCTGAATACTCTTCCTCTCTCCAGCGGTTACAAGTTGGCTCCTTTGGATTCTTTCTAAAACTGCGCTTCAGGGCAGCTGCCCTCTTTCTCCGCTCGGGGCGCACATCCTGTGACTCTCAAAATTTGAGCGGGGACTGTGGGGCTTGGGCTGGGAGCGAGAGCAACCTTCCCACTTCGACCCGATTCTAGCACGCAAACCCCGACATTCTGCATTCCACCTGGTTTGGGCGGGGGCGTAGTATCACAGCCCGGGGCACAGAGTCTTTTGCGGAGAAAGATGAGCAAGCTTTAAGCTTTGCAGATTTGTGGAGCAGTCTGTGCATTGAATGATTAGGTATTTCATTTCAACAGGGTGCATTTTATGAGGTGAACACTGGCTTAATAATAACTAAAGCGGATTTGGTAGGAAGAAACTTGCTTTAGAGAGCTTTGGAATTGATCCTGGGTACCTCTTTACTATTCAAATGACGTTTTCCAGTTTTAGAAATATATTTTTAAACACAGGTTGTTTTTTCCTCTATATCTTAAAACGAATGTAAAAAAGTCTTAGGTCCCCAGGGACGCTAGGTTGCTAGAAAAAGTTACACAGCTTTTTAAATGAATACATTTAAAGATAAATTGAATGAAAACAGATTTTGAATATTTTTCTCATTGAAGTGGCAATTTCATCAATAGTATATTGAAATATTTTTCATGACGATAAAGTGTGAGGAATTACTGCCAACGAAGGAGCAGTGTGTAGGTGTTCTAGATTCCTATCAATTCATGCTAAATCATTTCACACAGTGCAACGCGATTTTGTGTAATTGCCTGATAATTCATTTCATTTTTAACACCTTCTTTATATTTAATTGTAGCATCTTCTAGAAGCAACTTTTTTCGGTATTTGTGGGAAATCAGTCATGTTTCTAATTTTATTAGGTGGAGAGTATCATCCAGCATTTACTTATTAATGGCTTAACGTTCAGTCTGATGAGTAAATTAATGAGTCATAACATTAAACTGATACACGAGAGCACACACACAGACACCACAAAGAATGTTCAATAGTTTAGTCTTGAATCTAAAAAATACATGTTTAATTGAACTAAATATACTTTATTTTCCAGATGGAGAAATCAATTATTCTACTGCTCTGGATACAACATGTTGCTCAGGTAACACATTTTGGAATACACCCCATTTGGAAAAATTAGTTAATGGACAGGATGCATTGCATTGACTATATCCATTTTGGAAAATAAGGGGTATGTTGAAGAGAAATAACAGTATATACTGGGTTTATTACCTAAGGAAAATTTCTTTGCTAGGTGCTGCACAAATGATGCATTTAGATGGCATCTGTCTTCACTGCTTACAAGTTGTATTGGGGATAATCAGTGGGAGAAAGATAAGAAAAAGACATGGTATGGTGATTCATCTTAAGGTTTTTTGGGCAGTATTTTTGATAAATATAAAATATATCATTCTTCTGAGAGTTGAAGTGTGTGTGTGTGTGTGTGTGTGTGTGTGTGTGTGTGTGAGAGAGAGAGAGAGAGAGAGAGAGAGAGAGAGAGAGAGAGAGAGAGATATCTTGGGAACATAAATGGTTCTGATCCTGTGGTCCACTTTTGCCTCAATTGGTAACATTTTCTTTACCTATAAATGAACCAAGGCTCTAAAATGACTCAGTCAAACATTTTTCACTCGCACTTATTTTCATTGTGAATGTATTATCCAGCATGTCTGTGAAGTAAGTTAATTTTGTAGCCATTGCCGTAGGGTAAACAGTTGATGTGCCAGGAGGGTGTGCTGTGTTCTCCTGTGACTCTGTTTCTTCAGGCCCTCCTGACCCTGGAAACATGGTGTTTTCTAGTTTGAGAAACATGGTTCTTAAATTTCCTTGCTCTTATTTTACTTGCCTTTCTTAAATTATTCTAAAAATTATGTTTACAAACACAGTATCCAATGAATGTTATTCACTTATGTGTAGAAATCTATATTGCTGAAATATTTTTTAATTATAATTAGGCATATTTTAGGTTTCACTTTTGTAAATTTGCTTATAAAATATTAACCAAGAATGCATTTTATTATTTTTTGCGATTATTTTTCTTTCCCATTTCAGATATCAAAAAGTTTTCATTATATACCAATGTGTAAACAAACAACAACAGTTTTTATTGAATGGGAAGAATTTCCTAAGGGAGGAAGTCCTGAATTTTATTTTTTAAAATACCAACTTGTTAATAATTTTGCTCAAAAAGTAAGGCATTATTATTATTATTTTTTGCTTTGATATAAAGTTAAGCATAGTGTAAATATGTTGTAACTAAAAGCCACATCAGAAGTAGGAACTTAATAGTTTTCATGATTTCTTATTAATACATAAAATGTTAACATTTTATGAGGTATCTTAAAAGTAGTTGATCAAAATAATATTTAACTTTTTTCATAAGAAATATTCTGTATTTTACTTTTTAGAATTTGTATACTATACAGATAGTAGTTATTTTAAAAGTAATATTTTAGGTAAAAATAAATACTTCATATTGGAAAAACTGTTTTTTTATGAAGGATATATACAAAAGTCAAACTTTAATGTATCTAACACAGAATTAGTAAATATTTTTTAAACAGGTGTATCTTATTATTTACAGAATGTCAAGAGGATTCCTGCAGACCCACAAAAACCTCCAAAATCAATGATAACACTGGAAGAAAATGAAGACTATCACATCGTTATACAGTCCATAAAATATGGACAAATTTTAAGTGAAAAGTCATTTCAAACTCGTAAGTAATATGCATATTTTGTTCAGCTATATTACCTAATTATAAAAGGAAAATACCAGATCATTTGAATTTTACAGTGATTAACAGGTATGTGATGATAGTTGAAAATCAAATCATGATAGTAATAGTCTGTTCTTTAAATATAATGTAAATTTTAATATTTAAAGGAAACCATTAACTAAGGTAAGTAACATTTTCAGTTTTGACATTTAATTTGTGATAGTATAAATAGGTAGGTATAGTGGAAATGTTACACATATTTCAGATTGTTCTAAAAATATTATAATGTGGATTTGTAGTCTAATTCACTCATTCTAAATAAGGTTCAAGAAACTACCATATAGTTTAGAAAATATTTTATATTTAGATAATATTTTCCCACTATGGGCAATCTTTTGTAATTTAATATTCTTTGTGTTTCATTCCATTTAATTTGAAAACTTACTAATTATTCTTTCTGATTTTTTAGGTGGAATCTCACCTAAAAATATTAAAACAATAGCAACAAGTACAAGTGTTTCTTTTTACTGGAGTGTGCTATCTTCCAGTGACATTTCAGTGTCAATATCTCTTAATAATTCTTCACAAATCATACAAAATAACGTCATGGCTTCTGAGTGGGATGATTTGAAACCTGCCACCTTATATGCTTTTACTTTTGAATTCAAACAGTTGCATTTGGATTTTATAAATATACTTCAGAGACTGGATGTTCAAGTCGAAACAGGTATATAGATATTTGGTTCATTATTAATCAATATATTTATTACATATTTTGTAGATAACTTGGCAGTTATGTTGTTGTTTTAAAAAGTGATCCAGCCAAGTATTAACCACTGTAAACTACGTGTAAATGAATTAGCATCATCCCCCTTTCTTAACTACGTCATTCGGTATTTGAGTGATTTAGTGAACAAGGTGGATTTAGCAGCGTAAACGTGAGAACTGGCTTTGTGTTCCTTCCACTACTTATTTATTTATCCTCACCTGAGGACATTTTTCCATTTTTTTGTTCAGATAGAGTGGGAGGGAGGGAGGGAGAGAGAGAGAGAGAGAGAGAGAGAGAGAGAGAGAGAGAGAGAAACATGGATGTGAAAGGGACACATCGAGTGGCTGCCACCCACACAACCCAACCAGGACCGGAGACAAACTGCAACCGAACATGCCCTTGGCGGGAACCGAACCCGGGTCTCTCTGGACCGCAGGCCGACGCTCTAACCGCTGAGCCAAACCGGCCAGGGCTCCACTACTTCTTTTAAATGGAACTGAGTAGGTCCTCTCTCTCTCTCTCTCTCCCCCCCCCAACATTAGCAATGGTTCATATAGATTCCATAGTTGATTTTAAAATATCAATGAACAGTCACATTTTCAGGTATTAAAAGGTCCATTACTCATCCCCGATCAGACCCAACCCAAATTTAGAATACTGCAAGAGGAAAGGGAATGTATTCGTTCTTTGGTGTGACTTCCTGGTTCCATTGCCTCCCACCATATGGTGGGAAAATACATAAAAGAAGAAGCCAGAGTCTAACATAGCTAATGAGCCCTGGCCAGTTTGGCTCAGCGATTGAGCATTGGCCTGCGGACCAGAGAGTCCCGGGTTTGATTCCTGTTAGGGGCACATACCACACATACACACACACACTAGCTAATGAGAGCAATACACTCACTGTGATGGGCTAAGAGTCCCATTTTAATACTCTTTCTGTAGGAATAATCAATGAACCACAATGCATGTTTATAAAATAAATGGAAAAGCACTTGAATAGTAAGAAAGACAGTAAGGTAACCAAAATATCCCTGCTCCCCATCCTCCTCCTTGCCCTGTGAAAAAAGGAGACAACAGTTTCTTCATTAGATCCTTCTCACATCTTCCTGATATTGTGGGTAGAGGCACCAATGAAGCATCAGCAAGAATTAAAGTACAGTACGTACTCTGAACAGCCTGACATTTCCCTCGGTCATGCTGTGGTATGCAGCCTTGGAGAAAAATACCAAGCAACTATTTCAGTTTTTCCTGGAAGGTGAACCCATTTAAAGTGGCAGAGAGCAGAATTCTTAGCAATACTTAAATAGTTTCTACCAGTATAAAGGGTAAGGGACAGGAATTCAACCTAGAGTAATTTAGAAAAAGGAAAATCATCTGTGGTTTTGTTTTAATTAAGTTATAATTGGACAGTAATTCTGCATAATTAACTTTTACAGCTAATTAAAACTATTTTAATTGGTAGTAATTCATTTACTACTTGAATAATAACAGCTTTAGCACTTTTATTGGTTTGGGAGAAATATAGGGCAAGTGCACTATTAATTCTATGAAGTTTTCACAATTAACTTCTTTAGATGTTAAAGAAATACAATTTTGAAATGTTATATTACAGAATTCATCTTTAATAAAGCATTTTTCTTTCGGTAGGTTCATGTTCACAAGGATGGGTAGCATTAAAAAATGACTGTTACAGGATTAGCAAAGAGAGTAAACCATGGAATATAGCCCAGCAACATTGCAAATTATCCTTAAATTCTGCACACCTTGTGGATATAAAAAATGAAGAGGAAAAAAAATTTATATTTTCATATCTCAGGTCAAAGAATCAAATAATATCATGGACTGGTCTTAACGATTTGAAGGTCAGTAAATCTAAAGATATGCACATATGATTATAAAGAAAACTTTATGTTCATTTATTCATTAGTTTATTTTTTATTCATTCCTCTCTTCATTCAATAAATATTTATTGAGTACTTACTTTAAGTCAGACACTATTTCTCTCTGTCTGTCAATCTCTCTCTCCTGTCCTTTAGAGCAGTTACGGTTGCACAGAAAAACTGAGGGGAAAATACAGAGATTACCCATATACCCCACTGTTTCCACACATGCATAGCCTTCCCATGATCAACTCCTCAGTGCTACATTTGTTACAAATGAAGAACCTACATGGACTGATCATAGTCACCCAAAGTTCTCAGTGTACCTATGGTTCACTCTTGGTGTTTACATTCTATAGATTTGGACAAATATATAATGACACGTAAACACAATTTTGGTGTCATACAGAGTATTTTCACTGCCGTAAAGATCCTCTGTACTCAGCCTGTTCCCCCCTCCCTCACCTCCTTTAATCTCTCCTGTAAGCATCTATCCTTTACCTAATTTTGCTTTAATTTTGGTCTTTGCCACACTCCTCTAAATTCATTTGAGTGATCTTATCCATTTCTTTACTTAATTTATCACTTAAACCAGTGGTTCTCAAACATTTATCAAGCCCATTTTCTTCTCATGAGCTCCAGACAACTAATTTTCTTCTGATTTTGCCTTTTGAAATTATCCACAGACACATCGACAGTGCCCAGACTGACTTGTCATCTTCTTCCCACCAAACCTGCTTCACTTCTGTTTTTTCTCCTCTGTGAACAAGGTAGTAATATGAACCCGAAAACATGGACGCCTTCTCTACTTTATTTCTTTCACTTCACACACCCAGGTTTATGAAGTTCAGTTTTACTAAAGAAGATACAGAAAGATGTAAGATTTTCCTCAGTACCAGTGAAAAGCATGTGTGATTTTCTCCATCGTTCCTAACACTTAGGATATCACATGAAATTTCATTTTGGTCAGCACTTTGTAGGAACATCCAACACCTAAAACAATTCTTTCTGTCTAGTTTTCCTCCTGAAGATCCATTTAATTTTATATTCTGCTATTAAAGATCAGTTGGTTCTCTGCACTCTATCCTGATCTGTCGTGACCCAAGGCAAATTCTACCAGTTTTCTGTGGAACTTGGCATAAGCTTGGGAAAAACTATTGGCATATTTAATTGCATTTTCATCATCCTCATATTGAGTTTCCTTTATCATTTGATAGGCAGAGGATGAAGTTCTAATAAAGATTCCTTAAACCACAGTTCATTTCAGACATCTCAGACACCCCTGTTTAAAATAGAATGTTCTCTCCCAATAGTTATGGTTACCGCTTTCTGTTACAAGGTGCAGGCCATATGGTCACAGTAGCCAAAGAGGCTCCCAAGGCATCCTTGTGGTGGCTGTGAATTTTTCAGAAGTGTCGAAGATAGAGTCTCTGCTTTCAAGATACTTAAAAAGTAACTTGGGAGGTAAATGAAGCATCAAAGTAACGATAACACTTTCATTTATAATAATAACTAAATCCTAAGTGCTAAGCGCCATTCAATGTGGCTTTCTTGTAAGACATGTAAGGAAATTGTGGCCGAGGGAGAATAATTTGTCCACGTGGACACACATCAGTCTGCTCTTAACCGCTGTCCCCTATGACCTCTGTATTAAGCTGGTCTCTTGAGGTTGACATCAAAGTCACCTACTGGGTTATAATCCCTGTGGTAGTGTGAGAATGTAATCACCCATTTCATCCATGCTGAATGAGTGTGTTTGTTACTGGACTTCAAGGATAGGCAGTCTTACTTATTATTACATTCCCAGCTTCACTGGAGCCTGACACTCAGCAGGAACGTAATGAATGAGTTAATAGTCTCTTTAATCTACTTCGTGAGGGCTATACAGGTAACCCTCATTCAGTTCTCACAACAACATTATGAGGTGGGCACTATCATTATTCTCATTTTATAGATGAGGAAAGTGGAACTCAGAAAGATTCTGGGTCACACAGCTCACAGGCTTTGAACCTGTATCTGTCTACCAGCACGCTGTATCTGTCTACCGCACGCTGTATCTGTCTACCGCACGCTGTATCTGTCTACCGCACGCTGTATCTGTCTACCGCACGCTGTATCTGTCTACCGGCACGCATGCCTTAGCCACTTAAACATACTTCCCTCAAGCCTCTGCCTATTTTCAAAACTGCCGCACCATGTATGCAATAAAGCAGACTCCCCGAGGAAGCAATATTCCTCCATTCTGTTAGGTGGAATTGGAATATACTATTTAAAAAATATCTTTAGAATGTCTAGAGAGAACAACTCTCTTTAATCCTTATCTGGGCAACTTGCCTGGAGCTGGGCTTGATGTTGGGATGGTATGATAATCAGCATATAGACATCGTCTCTGTTTTCACAAAGCTTGTTATCTCTGTAAGAATTATATTTATTTTATGAGGAGCTATTATGTACCTAGTGTTTTGTATACACAGTCTGTAAACCTGTTGACATCCATGCAAAGTAGTTATGACTATCTCTGTTGTACAGATGGAAAAGATTAGTTCTAAGAGGTTGGCAATTGTTCAAGAATAGTCAGTGGCAGAAATATTGATTAGACTACAGGTGTATCATTGTCAAAGCTTGTACTTTTCCTACTACCCCTGTCAATGAGGGTAGCCACATGACTACCTAGAAATACATGCATTACTCGTGAGAATTGAGGTTGGTGATATCCACCAGTGACATCCCTTAGCAGGAAGGTATCAAAAACCCCTCCTGTGAGATTCAGCAATTTGCCTGAATACATATGGCTAATGAGTGAATGAAAGTGAACTCTGTCACCTGCTCAGGATCTTTAGAATAAAAGAAATCTGCATAAATGTATATTAACCCAGTGGGTGTGGCTCAGTGGATTGAGCATCATCCCATGGACTGAGAGGTCCAAGTTCGATTCTCGGTCAGGGCACACACCTAGGTTCCCAGCTCGATCCCTAGTAGGAGGTGTGCAGGAGGCAACCAGTTGATGTGTCTCTCTCACATTGATGTATCTATCTCTCTCTCCCTTTCCCTCTTTCTAAAAAGTCAATAAAAACATACTAAAAAATAAATCTATATTAAACAGGTTGATAATTTAACAGTCTTAGAAAATTTTATAATATAGGTGTGACTAATAAAAATCTTCAAGGACACTTATTTGAAGGTGTGACACTTTTCCTTTACATTGGCTTAATTTGTACATCCTATTACAGAAAGAAGGTCATCTCACATGGACAGATGGATCTTCTTTTGGCCTTAAGAAAAATGAAATCAATTCTTTTCCACTGCTACCCAAGAATGAAACAGATTGCTACATTTTACAGCAAAATGCAACCGGATTAAACTATTTTTTTGCAAGATTTTTCTGTTATATTCCATTGCCATATATTTGCAAATATGAATGTAATTATTTTATTAATATTCTTATATTTATGCACCTCACTATATTATTATTTTAAAAATAGAATTATAATTTGTAAATAAAATTATTCCTTTCTTTTTATATTTCTTTCAGCACCTTCTCTGCAGGAAAATCTTTTGATCTATATAAAGGATGTTGGAACAACTGAAGTTGTATTTAGTTGGAATAATTTGAATGGTTGGAATAGTTTGAATAAGTGGCTGCAAATAGGATATAAAATAATCATTAAATATTATTTAGATTATACACAACAACATTTTGAGAGCATACCCCCAAATACCACAGAAAAATCAATTACCCAACTGTTTCCTGGCCATGTTTACAGATTTTCATTCTTTGCAATAAATGAATGGGAGGCAAAAACTACGCTAAGTCCAGTATTTGTTGTTGAAACACGTAAGTTACAAGACATCTAAAGTTACAAATTTTCAAGTATTTAATATAATCATTTGTAGATTATTTCCTGATGATCTGGTGTTTTCTCATAACACTCTGGGTACACCTGCAACTTTACCAATTAAAAAAATTTCTTTTCTTCATTGAATTTTAGAGAGAGAGGAAGGGAAAGGGAGAGAGAGAGAGAAACATCGATGAGAGAGAACATCGATTGGTCGCCTCCCGCATGCCCCCCTACTGGGGATTGGGCCCCCAACCTAGGCATGTGTCCTGGCCGGGAATCAAACTGGCGACCTCTTGGTGCATGGGTCAATGCTCAACCCCTGAGCCACACTGACTGGGCAACTTTACCAATTTTAAATTATAACTTATATATTTGTATTTCCTGTTAAACTATTAACCTGTAAAGAACTATATCTTATTTGTCTTATAGCATCAGCTAGATTGGAGCCCAGTTCATAGCAAGCATGCCTTTCTGTGGAAACAGATTTTTGATATGTGCTAATAGCAAAAGATAAACAGATGTGTGTCTGGACTTAAAGAGGAGAACAATGAAGAGTGTTACTGAGGAATAAAGTAAATACAAACAAAACTATGTAGAAAAATATAACCTAAATTCCCACTCGGTGGTGCATTTAATAAATGCTTTCTAGAATTCCGGGTGTGGGTGATAGTGAAGATTTGTGGAAAGGAGAGGCTCCGACTCAAGCTTGAGGAAGAAAAACACATATGAGCAAATATGTAGAGACATGAGTTTGTGGGAAGAGAATCATGCACACTGACTGGAGAAGATTTTTTTGGGCATGAGGGTAAAATCAGTTTGAGAGGTAGGTGGTGCAAAATTTGAGCATGCCAGTGGTCTCTGTCTCAGATATTTGGATTTGATCTTAGTAGCGATGGATATTAATTAGGTCTATAGTACTGTAAGACTTGCTTTACCTTCCACAAATCACTCTCAATGTATTATATTACTCAGTCCTTACCTCAGCTCAGGAGTAGCTGTGTAGAAACAAGAAAACTGGGCTTCTGAAAGGTTAAGTAAACTGACTAGAGTAATGTGATTTGTTTAGCAGATCCAAACAGGAACCCGGATGGTCTTAATTTAACTCATGAGATATTGCTTCTAAAGAAAGAACCAAGAGAATGTGTACGTTGGGAGCACAGGGAACGGATATGGGTTTGTGGCTGATATGTGCAAGGTGCTGTTTTAAGAAAATTAATCTGAAGGGATTAACTAGGAAAATCACTGGCACTGGATGAAATGGTTTGTGATGGGGAAATATTTCTGTAAGAGGACAAGTGCCCGAGTTCCGGTGATGTTGGGACCAAAGAGTGAATACTGTGATGTTCCTGCCTTCTAGTTTGACAAGACAGAAGGGGCAAAGGTCACAGCATGGGAACACTGACTGCTGCCAGTGTCCTTCTAGTGGTGCCTGTGTTAAAAGGAATGATTGAGCCATAATGTGTGTGGAACTCTGTGCCAAGTGCTTTACATTCATCTCATTGAATCACCACAATCATTTTACAAGGCAGCTACTACTGAAATTCCCATCGTATAGTCAAGAAAAGGGAGGCTCAAATATAGCAAGTTTCTTGGAGAGAGGAGGCAGAACATGTAAGAGCTGAGCCTCAAACCCAGTTTTCCCTTTCTCTTCAAACTGAAGTGTTATGGAAGTACTGAGCAGTGAGTGGTGGTTCTGGCAAACCGTATTGCTAATAGCACGTATTTATCTCCTAGGTCCATTATCAGTCCAAAACTGCACAGTTACTCATGTGACCCCAACAGAAATATTTTTACACTGGGATCCTCCAGATTCAGCGTCTTTTCACCATTACCTTGTAACTACTTTGGATGTTGAAAGTAATAGATCAGAAGAGGTGTTTGTTGAAAAACTCAATACCTCAACAACAATTAGTGGTCTCAGATCTTTCCATCATTACCTGATATATCTATTCAGTGTAGCAGAAAGAGGAACTTTAAGCTGCTTTGATAAACCTATTTCAGCCATTACAGGTAAGTGTGGCCCTATTTTGCCTTTAAGTAAAAAACATAAACTGTATATGTTGAAAAATTATTTTGATGAAATTTAATCATGCAGATCCTTTATAGATGAATATTCACAGGTGAATATTTGTTTGAATGTTGAATCACAATATTTTCTTTTTGTTAATTTTCACCTGAGGATGTTTTTTCCATTGATCTTTTGAGAGAGAGTGGGAAGGAGGGAATGAGACCCATCAATTGGTTGCCGATATGGGGCAGGGATTGAACCTGCAACACAGGTATGTGTCCTTGACCAGGGGTCAAACCTATGACCCTTTGGTGTGAGAGCCATTGCTCTAACCACTGAACCAAACCGTCCAGGGCTTGAATCACAACTTGAAGGGTGGATTCTAAATAACTGTATTCATTTAGATTTAAACATCAGCATTGTTCCTACCAGAGTTCCTAGAAGATATCTTCCTTATCATAGCCTTGGCCAGAAAATAAATTATTATAAAATATGAATATTAGCTCACTCAGTTCTCTTTAATAACACTAGATCCAACAAATATAAAGGTCTGCACATTTAATCAGTTTTACTTTGTTCATTTTTTCACACAGTGTGATTATTTCACCACTAGGGGGCAGTCTCACCCTAGGACTTTTGGCCAATGCATTTCTAATCTCCACTCCCACAGGGCAGTTTTTGAATCTTATCTAGAACATAATTATTAATCTAGCTTTTATTTAAGCACTCTATTGACCCTCTTAAGTATAAGTCACTCTTTTTGGAAAAGATAAAACACTATTTTATGAAACAGTGCATAACTAAACCCATATCCCTTTGTGTGTAATGTATGTATTGTGTGTGTGTGTGTGTGTAACATGTCTTTATGAAAAATTCTTTGAAATTTCACCAGTTAAAATTTAACCACACTAGAGCTGAGGTGGAAAACCTGAATGTTCACAGCCATAGATTAATTAACCTCCTCATACTTACTGGAAATACTTGGGAGTCTTTGAAAATAAGAACAAGAAATATGTATTATTTAATGTTTACTAAATTGCAAATGTTTAACATACATGTATTCAGTGTTGTAAGTACTAGCCAAAATATTTTTCCAATTGGACTCTTGATAGCAGATGTTTCTTCTTCCTCGAGCTCAGACAAAGCATCTTTCATTTGATAAATTCTTAGCTGAGTTCTTTATACTTTAGGAAGATGGTTTCATTTTAATTGGCAGGCAGACTTGGAGGATTTCTCACAGATACATTAATTCTGAGGCCATATTGAAATCTCCCGTGGTACACACCTGTCTGTTTAATAGAAAGGTGAGAGGAAGGGACATGTGAATCTGCACGTTTAATTTTGGGTCATTTGTTATGTGTGTTAACCGTAAGCTGACACGGCAGTGCATGTCCGGGACTTAGTATCCCAGTGCCTTTTTACTCACCTGAGGTTGAGGCAATATTCATTTTTTTTTTTCATTTATTATTTACTCAACAAATTATTTTTTAGTATCCGAAACTGCAGTAGGTACTGGAGATGCAAACATAAGTATGACTTGGTCTCTGCCTTCTACTAATGGAGCGAGACAAGTATGTTTAAAACAATGATAATGCTGTATTTTAATTGCAATTATAGGGACAATGCTCTGGGTACTCTGGAAGCATAGACAGGGATCAGTAACCCAGGCTTGGGCACAGGGATAGTCACAGAGTCTTCCTGTGGAGGAGAGGTGCTCTGAGTCCCACAGGGACTGGAGTTCACCAGGTGAGCGTGGGGAGGCACGAGGATGTTTTGGTAGAGCGAACAGATGTGCGTAGGCAGCGAGGACCGAGGGAGAGGCATCTGCCTGGCCATACCAGGGAAAGCCAGAGAGGCTTTTTCAAGAGACCAGCATTTGAACACTAGGACATCGAAAGTAGGTTGGCATGGCCGGAGTACAGAGGGGCATGTAGAAAGAGTCTAGAAAATGTGAGTAAGCTAGACACATAACATGAAGGGCCTTGATATTAAGGAGTATAGTTTTAGTCAGTAAAATGTAACTTTTTTGCACCATGGAGGCTTTTGAGAACATAGAAATATGAATGGACCTTCTCCCATAAAAATACACAGGCATGCACGGAGAATTCTGTGCTTATAGGCTCTGGCAGACCTTACCCAGTATCATCATTTCCTCAGTCTCTGCTTGTGTGTGGTATTCAGTAGACTCCATCTCTGTTCTCCACTGAAGTACATGTTTATACTAGGGTTATAAGTTTTGCAAGTATGTAGGAACAAAGATAGGAAGTTATTTCACCCTGAAATCTTATGAACAAAATTTCTAATTGGGTTATGCTGTCATTTCCTGATAATTTAAAATAAATAATCAGTTTTAACACTTCAAGTCAAGCCAGTTACAATTTTGTGGCATTAAGGTACAGGATGAACAGACTGTGGAATGATACTTTCCTGAGAAATTAATATATGATGTTTAATTGTGTTGATAATGAGGTAAACTTCAGAACAAATTAAAAATCAAGTTATAGTTTCTTAAAACAAAGTAATTATGAAAATCATAATGAGTTCTTTAAAGAGTATTTAAAGTAAAACTACTGAACAGTTTAAAATTCCATAATCACCCTTATGATAATGAACTAATGATTCATCACTGTGCTTGGGAACTACTAAAAGTTCAGGGGAAGCATATAACACAGGAAAAATAATTAAGAGTGAAAAGAAGGCATTACAAATTCCAGAGTGTTATATAGTAGTAAAAATCACAAGGCTTGATATTCAAATACATTGTGTAAGGAGATAAACCCAAGTATTTTCTTTGGTTATTGCAATAGAGCATCAAGAAAATTTTCTTTGATTGTGTTCTGCATGAATTGTAATCACAATAATTTCCCCTTTATTTCTAAATGTGTCATATCTTTCAGAAATTAGAAAGGTAATATAATTTAAAGTTGCAGCCATCTTTATGATAAATACTAGTCTCAAAGTTTTAAAAACCATCTATATGTTAATGATGCTTCAATTTATATCTCTAGCTCAGACCTTTCTCCTAAACTTCAGACTTAAATATCTAACTGCCTGCTCAATGTATCTCATTTGGCAACCTAAGAGAGACATCTTCCATTGAATATCTCCAAAACCGAGCTACAGATGTTCCCACCCAAAGCTGCTTACCCCTGGGCCCCTTATACCTCAATTCACAGCCATTCCATTCATCCAGTTGTTTAGGTCAAATCCCGGAAGGCATTGTTAACCCTCGCATTTCTTTCACAACCTACACCCAGTCTCTCAAGAAATTCTGTTGGTTCTGTCTTTAAACAAATCCGAATCCCAACACTCGTCCCCACTTAGGGCGATGGCCATCCAGGCCACCACCGTCTTTCACCCAGATGACTGGCCTTGCTCCCCTGTGTCTACCACCGGTGCTCACCATAGTCTGTTATTAATATAAACAGCCCAGATGATTCTTTAAAATTTAGGAAGGCTATACCGCTGAATAAAACCCTGTAGTTGCTACCTCGTGGATTCAAAGGGAACGCCTGTGGAGCTCTCTGGGAACCCCTGGCCTCATCCGTTCCTCTCCCCTCCATTCACTCTGGCTTCCTTTCTGTGTTGGAAGATGCCAGGTCAACTCCTGTCGCAGGGCTTTTACATTAGCTGTTTTTCTCTGCCTGGAACTCTCTTCTCCCAGAAATCTGCGTGTCTAACGCCTTCACCCCCTTCAAGTGTTTTGCTCAAAATCTCATCTTTTCAAAGACACCTGCCCTGAATTCCCTATGCAATACCACAATTTCCATGAGCACCACACTCCTCTTTAGCACTCATCGTATCTAAATTACTGTACAACGTATCCATTTGTTATACGTATTGTTTACTGACAATTTCCCTTCATTAGAATATGAACTCCGTAAGGCAGCGACTTTTGTTTTTTTATTGATGTGTTCTACATGCCTAGGAGAATGCCCAGGACATAGTAGGTGCCTGTGTGTATTTGATAAAAGACTAAATAACTTCATTACTCTGATAAAACTCTTAAAAATCTGAAGGCTTTGCAAAACATCGTCTATTTTCCCTTGATGTGTGATGTTTGTGCTTAATCGTATTGGTAGAGCTTACATAGTAATAACAAAACACAGTTTTTTTTCCTCCAAAATTGAGTTCTTTTCAAGATATGGTGACATGGGATTTGTTTAAATTATTTTAAATATGAATTAATATTGAACTAAGATATTTTTACCCAATAGAATGAGCACTGCTAACAATAAACTAAGGTATGTGTATCTCTTTCTCTGTTTCTCTAAGGTATACTTCCACCACAGAAAGTTTATGCTAACCCTGAAGATGTAGGCGAGGACAGTGTCCTTATTCAGTGGGAATCCCCACAAGATGGCCATGAGGTCTACATTCAAGTCAAATCCATACCAGATACAAGAGTAGTCATGGCTCTTTTTGTAAAGGATGCTAATAGATTCAAGGTTGATCATTTAATCCCTGGAATGACCTATGACATTGGAATGGCAACAGTGATGAATGGGAATCTGAGTGAGCTGGTGACTATTCAACAAACTCTAAGTGAGAATCAAATACTTTTCATTCACAACAGATATTTGCTGATCTTCGGGTACTGCAAAATATTCTCTATAGATCCCTCTGGTAGTGGGTTTTGCTTTTTAAGTAAATTGTTGGTGTATTTTGTCTAATGGTTGCCTCAGGACCTACAGTAATTTTTCTTCCTTTTACCTTGACAGTGCTGACTGCTTGTATAAAGGCAGCATTGTTCATGGTTAAGAACTTGATCCTCAAGCCATATGCCTTGGGTTTGAATCTGGGTTCAACTCTTTAAATAACTCTGGGCAGTGTGCTCAACCTGTATATGCGTCAGCTTCTATACTTATAAAATGGGAGAAAATAATAGTATGAATCATGGGATTCTCTGAGAATAGATGATTTAGTAAATGTAAGGGCTTGGAACAGTGCCAGACACCTAGTTACATAGATGTTTACATAATAATTAGTGCTGTATCGAGAAAAGCAGGCTGTGGCACACTCGAAGCAAACATTGACAGTATCAAAGGGTTAGAACCAAACCAACAAAAAATGTCTATGTCCTTTCTCAAATAAGATCAACTTACTCAATTGGCAATTATTAAAAGAGCTATTAAGGAAAGACAGTTAAAAAGTAAAAAGAATCTATGAATGAAATAATATTTATACTGTGAAAAACACTAGGAGAAGAAAATGCAAAGTGATGTGATAGTGACTGAAGAGGGATGGAGGGTTATTGTCAACAGGTGTAAGAGAGGGGCTTACATTTGAATGGATATGTAAAGAAGGAGCCAGAGTGGAGTCAGCCAGAGGGAGGGCACTGCAGGTACACACAGCTGGCGTGAAGGCTGTAGAACAGAAAGAAGTTTGGCATATCCAGAAACAAAAGGGCCCGGATGTATGGTGTCTGGTGCACAGGGAGAACGGTGTTTGGAAATGGTAATAAAGAAGGATTCAAGGGTCAGATCACATAGGTCTTACAGCCGATGCTTTTGAGTTTCTTCTGAGGCGATGGGAAGCCATTGAGAGTTTTGTACAGGAGAATGACAGTGTGACCTAGGTCACAAACATTTACCTGTGGCTCTGTGCAAAAAATGATTTGTAAAAGGGCAAGGAAAGTGGGCAAGAGGTTGTGGAACATAGACAAAGGATTTTGGTGGGCAAACTGGGGAAGGGTGGATACAGTTTATATTATGGAAGTAGGTGGTCCAAGCTTTGATGCTGGAGTGCTTGTGATAAATAAAGGAGAGGAGAAAGTTCGTGTTTGAACTTGAACAATTTGAGTCGATGGTGGTGACTCTGAGGAAGAGAAAGGTCATTGGACCTCACAGGCCTTTTGGCTATCGGTAGGGGCAGCCTGGTGGGAAAAAATGAATTGGTTCCCAAAATTATGTACTGGCAGTGTCTATGCTCAACCAGCAATGAACCTTTTTATTTTACTCTCAAAAGACTAAAACTACATTTATGTATGGTTCTTTCATATTTAATTTCTGAGAAAACCTACCGAAAGAGAATTGTCATAGTAAACAGTTATGAAAAAGAAAACTAAAGAAAGAGATATTGCTGAAGACAATTACTTCATGTCTCTGATTTCGTGGCACAATGGAAGTACTAAAATTAAAATGCATGGACGGAAAATGAACTCTAGTCTTCGATCTACCAATTACCAGCAGTGTGTGGACAGAGTGCTTCCGGATGGGCTCGGTGCCTAAGTTTTCTCTCTAAAAAGTTTAGATCATTGAACACGTTTTAAAATTGACTTCCAGCTCTAAGGTGCTATTCTGCTCTGACTCTAGAGAACTAAGCGTATTTTAACCCAGCTTCTATCTAAAATATACAAATTTTGCCTCCTTTTCTAAGTAACAATCTCTTTTGAATTACTTCTCAGCTTTATAGCTTCAAGTGTAAGCACAGTTCTTGATTTTGTTTAATTTAAGGACAAACTGCTATTCAACATGGAAGCATGAATTAACATCTATACATTTTAGAAAGAATAATAGAATGTTGGGGTTTGAATGTGGGACAGAGATCTTGCCAATCTGATAGGCAATCCCCAGCGTGGTGCCTCTGGTCATTTTGTCATGCTTGCGTGTGTCCTCTGTCATGGGGTCATGTCTGTTGTCCAGGGCATCACAGAGCAAATCCACTCCCAGATTCAAATGAAAGGTCATCCCATGTTTGGAAACAGCTGTTTTGTGTTCTGGTTTCCATAGTTTACTTCCTTCTGGTGAATTATTGCTCACTCTTTGGAGTAGTTCACTATTTCTAGTTTATGAACTGAATAGTTAAGAACTGAATAGATAGGACAATTATAACCCTATTGTCCCATCTATTCAGTTCTTAAGCTCCATAATGACTTTTAGTATCACCAGATTATTTATTGTTCATCATTTGTACATGTCTCAAGTGATATAAACAAATATTAACCTATTCTAAGGAGCACAGGAAGAATTAATGCTTTCCATGCATTCATTCAACCGATTTTTGTTGATAGCTATTATTTGCTGTGCCCTGTTTCTCTCTCTCTCGTGTACTTCGAGGCAATCAAGCATAGAGGGGTATTTCCTCTTCATGAGCTTCCACAACATTTATTTCCCTTTCCCCTTTGAAACATATCTCTCTCAGTTCTAAAAATATCTAGCAAAACTTGATTTCCAGTTGTTATTATGCACCTTGAAACATAAAATGTGCCCGTTGGGAGAAGGCAGTCTTACCAGCATAGACCCTGGAACTGAATTGGCTGGGTGAGAACTCTAGCTCCACAGCGATCAGTTTACATCCTTTGGGAAGTCATCCAAACGTTTCGGTCCTCAGTTTCCTTCTCTCTAAAATGAGAAAGATAATCGTATCTACTTTACGAAGTTAGTATGACGTAAGGTCTCAGACACCAGGCAAGCACTATGAGAGTGCCGTATGGTTCTTATTCTTCAGCAGGAGTGGAGTGTGGCTTTGGGGAGCTGTGGCCCTCCCTAGTGGGAAGAAAAGCCCTTCCAGCTGTCCGTGCAGTCTCTCCTTGTCAGGGAATTAACTATACCCAAGTTTCTTGAGGGAACAAGCCCTGCAGGAGAACTGGTGTTTGTGTTTTTTTTTTTTTACCTCTTGGTATAGAAGAATGCATTTTAAGGGACCGTGGGTATCCCTGAGAGCTCATTCTACCTTGTCTGTAATAAAAGACTTTGAATTTGGCCTAGTTCAGTTTATCTCACATTGAAAAAACCTCACACAGCCCCCATTGCTACTGCTTTTTCTGAAAGTGGTGGTGGAGACCCATCAGAAGTCTTCAAATTATGTCAGTACTTTTTTTTGTAAAGTAAAATCTTCTCCAGCTTGAGTTTCTAGAGGTTCAGGATATAATTTAGAAGAGAAGGAAGAACTTTGTCCTATTCTATACCTGTCCAGCCTTGGTGACCCCTCAGGTTTAATGTTATACATTAAGGCCATTGGGTCCATTCCCCAGACAAGTGAAATTGATGGAAAATCCCACATTTACCCACTGAAGGGAATGTCACTGACTATATACATTTAGAACTTAAACTAGACTATGCCTATTTAAAGCGTGTCTCTGCTTGGAAAATGTCTTTGGCACCCAAGAGCATAGAAATGAATAGTTTCCATGACTACACTGGTCACTCATTTCCAATCCCCAGAGCTTTAATTCCTGCTCAAGGCACATTGAGAAGCTTTCGCAGACCATTGCCCACAGATTCAGATGGATGGATACTTGTAGGATGTCATCCTAGCCGTAGAAAAGCCATATTGACTGTAAGAGACTTGTAACTGAAAAGATATGGAGGGAATTTAAAGGGGAAACCTATAAAAAAAACCAAAAAAACAAAACATTAGTTATGGGTAGAAAAAGAGGTTAAGATAATAAAACTGGAAAAGGGAAAACACAATAAAAGTACCTTGAAACCCAGTGGTGTACCATATGGAATTTTTTTTATGGTTTGTATATTGAACATTTCCTTATAACCACCAAGAATAGAAGAGGCAAGCAATTTATGTGCTACAGCAGAATAAATTGATGAATATTGCACAGATTTTATGTTCTAGAATGCTAATCATGGGTGTGTGCCTAAACCCTTCCCACAGCATTTGGCGCTATGTAAAGTGGCAGAGTCTCATGGTCAAATATTTAACAGTGACTTACAACAAGTTCCATTTGCATGGAACCAGATGCCACCAGTAAAACTGGAAAGCCCATCAAATTATTCTCTGGAAGAAAACATTACTTTTTCAGAATGTGTATTTCAGGAAAAGATGAAAGACAAAGCTAAGGATATATTGGGTGGTGTCCCAATAATCCATGAATAGAATTGAGATTAAAATTGACCTGAGGAAAAACAATGTGAATAGAAATTTTCTGAAATTTCGAATCTGCTCTAAATAGCACAGCAGGAGCCTGAGGGAACAGAAAGCTATTTAATAGAGGTCAGGGAGAGTGTAAAATGTCCTGCAAGCAGTTGCCAGAACTGTGTTCCTAAAAATGAAATGAAATGTCTGCTCAGAGTCCCTGTGCCTACAGGATGCAGTCTGACGTCCACAGCCCGGCATGCAAAGCCTGTCACGGACAGCGTCCAGCCCCTGGGGTGGCCCTGCCCGGCCTCGTCCCTGCTCCTCACACACACCGCATGTGTTCACCAGCCTGAGCATGTGCCTGGCACAGCTCTGAGCACTTTATGTATAAATACAACACTCATTTAATCATCACAGTGACCGTGCAAAGTCCATACTAGTCTCTTTCCCATTTTAGGGATGAGGAGACCTCAGCACAGAGTGACTAAAGAACTTGCCAAGGACACTCTGCCAGGAAAGAGCAGAAAGAACTTGACATTCCCAATACACGATGACGCCCTTTCTGGTTTGCACGCCTGGCTCATGTATTCTCCTTGCCTGGAGTTTCCTTCTCACTACCTCTCCCCCTTCACAAACACTCTTTCTGGCAAACTTGGACTAGCCTTTACCACTCCGATAAAACTTCACTGATTCTGCAAAGTCTTCCTGTTATCTCTGCTAGGATTGTTATTTCTTCTTCTCATCAAAATAGCTTTTTGTTTATGTCACCAGCTCAGCTCTTGACACTGGATAGGGACGGGGGTGGGGACTGGGAGAATGCTGGGGGCGGGGGAGAGGGGTCAGGAAGCCAAGCTCAGACCAGATGGCCAGAAGGAATGCCAGATAAGCTGACCTCAGAATGTTACCACTCCTCCAGTCCCAACTCAAAAACAGAGGTAGCTCATTATATCTCCTTTCTAACAGCTGATGCAGAAAGGACTGACCCACCTGCACAGTTGGTCAAGGTTTGCCTGCCATACGACCTCCCTGGGGTGGCGATAATGAGCGGTAGCAGAGCGCAAACAGTTAGGAAGCAAGGCAGCTGCAAGGAGAACTCACCTGACCCTGAAATAGAAAATTCTGCAAGCCTGCTTTTGTCAAAAAAGCCCACTTTTTTCCACACAAGCCTGCCTTGTCTCCAGCTTGTAAAAGCAGCCAAGCCGGCCAGTCCCAGCCCATTTGCAAGACCTTCCTCTCCTCGGGGCTGCCTCCTTTGCGATCAAGCATAAGCTTAATAAAATCTGTCTGAAAACTTCTCTGGGGCTTCCTCTCGATTTCTGCCCTGACATCGGTGCCACTCTGACCATCTGGGTTTCTTGTTAGTGATGTGTTTCTATTTCCTGAGATGGGCACTTCTCTGAATGCAGAAACTCGGCCTTATTTGTTTTATTTGAGTACTTGTAGTATATAGGTTCTCAAAAATATTTGTTTAATAAATAAGTACAAAGATAGAGACGTGGAAGAGGGGTACAGACTGACAATCCCCAGAAGAGGGGTTGTGGGGAAGAGATAAACCACAGAACTTATATGCATGCATGCATGAACAGTGGACATGGACAACAAACTGGGGACAGGGCAAGAAGGGAGGGGGAGGGGGGAATCAGTGGGGGAAAAAGGAGAAACATCTGTAACAAAAATTAATTAATAAAAAAAAGGAAAAAGATAAGCAAAGCCTTGCATATGAAAAAAAATTAAAAAAAATTAAAAACCTAGAAAAAAAACCAAACTTGGACAATATCAAATTATGTTTTGATACTATTACCGCAAATCAAAAAGTGAAAGTTAATTATGTACTTCCAGTATATTTGTACATATGGTCTGTCAAAATGTCCAACTTGTTTCTGTCTAGTGTTGACATAGTAACCAGAAGTTTAATGCATAGCCATTTAATATTTTCACAATTCTAGAACATGCCAGACAAAATACAGAGAAATATGCTTGAAATTTGAAAAAAAAAACCAAAACCCACTAGTTATAAATCTCTCTTTTTATCTTTCAGAGCCCAAACCAGTCCAAATTGTTATTCCTTACGAAAGTTATAGCACTTCTGTAATCTTATTTGTTCTAACACCTGATACTGGAGTGTTTGATGGCATACATATTGCAACTGAAGGAGGGCCAAATGTAACCATGCCTTTAAAACATGAAAATAAAATAACTGTTGACAGTTTAACCCCAGGCACAGAATATAATTTCTTTGTTTCCATCATCAGTGGGACTAAATTAAGTAATGTATATTATGTGCCTGCAGTAAAAACATGTAAGTATTTTAGGACTTGCATAAGCTTATCTTTAAAATTAGAAAAATAGCCATAAAAGCTCTGCAGATAAAAATCTATTTTTAGCTTCACCCAATATTTGATACAAAGAGGATTATTTAACTTTGTCATATTTTTTTCTCGGTTGTCTTTTTAGCTTGTGCTAATAATTTCAGAAAGCTTTAATCTCTTTTTCCTCTTTTGAATATTGTGCCTTTGCTCCTGTGAATTTGCTCTTATGTACCTTTTGCTGTAACATCAATATTAGCAACAACTCTGAGTATTGCAACTTATTATCATATTTTATAAACTGTCACTGTATGTGTAAACAATTATTTTTAATTAGTATAAAGAGGTAGCTGATTAGTAAACTTTATTGTTCTTTTTTTTCACATTGTGCCCGCCTCCCCTCCCCCCTCCGCCCCTTAAAGGGATACATTAAAAGAAAAAAATACCCGAGAAGAATCTGTGTGTTGTGTTTTGGGTAGGTTTGGAAGCACCATCAAATATCCACGAGGGCGAGGTTACAGACGTTTCCATAGAGATTCTCTGGAATCGAGCTGATGGGAGTTTCCAGCATTATGAAATCACATGCGTAAACTGTGCTGCTGCTTTCAAGGTACGTTACGCAAGGCTCTCGACGGAATTAAACTTGAATCTTTCGTGCCGAATCCAATATTGCTGCATTCTTACATTAGATAGTAGTGAAATTAAATAACCCCCAAGCTGTGTAGCCTGTGTTAGATTGTGGAGCACTTCTTAAACGAAAACCTGCTACTGTGTTCTTTTGGATTGATAGGTCCAGAAGGTAGAGAAAGAAGCAGCAACATTCTTCAACCTGGAGGCTGCCACAGTGTACACCTTTGCAATTCGCACTGAGAAGGAAGGTTTTAAAGACAGTGCTCCTAACGTAAAAGAAATCCAGACAGGTATAAGGGAAGGTTTAGTAAATACTACATTCTCCCTAGATTTTCTTCATGGGCTGGCGGTGTCCTCTTGTGTGTCTTTTTTTATTTCCCTTTCTATGGATTGTCACACCCTCTTTTGTGTATGTATTGTTAGATAGATAGTAGGGTGGCTAATTGCCTGGGGTCTGGTCAAACTCTCCATTTCTGAACTAATTTCTCCATTGTTTCGTTAAGCAGACAATGAAATGCCATTTCCCCAGTGTTAGCAGCCTACTTCTAATGGTAATTTATTCCATGGTAGTCATATGGAGTGAAGGATGATTGGGAAGGATGTATGCACAATGCGTGTTTTCACACCGAGGTGAAGAAAAATTGTCAACAAGTCTGCTGTAATGCTATTTAAGTTATTCTTGACACGGATGCTATATAGAAATATTTATATATTTAGAAACTGGTATTCTTTTACTGTGGTAACAAAGGATGGAATGGAGAGGAATCCCATGGCCATGTTGTTCCTTTCTTATACATAGAAGATTTTACAGAGGAAACCAAATATATATTATATATTATTCCATTTAACTTTTTTCCTGAGAAAAGAAGAGGAGCATTTTATATTTAGATTGCAATTAACTTTCCTGATGATTAACCTGGTCACTATTTGGTATTTCATTAGAACGAGTCCTAAAACTTATTAAATAGTTCTGAGGGTAGTGGTTGTACAAGACCAAGATGTAATCTCTTCATATATTTTGGAGACAATGGAAATGTTGAGTACAATACTACTGGGATACATATCGACTTTATTTCAAAGTTTAAGATGATTCTGGTTGTTGTTGTTTTTTTTTTCTCTTTTGACTTTTAACTGCTCATATCTACTAAGAAGAATAAAAGGAATGTTTTTGGTCATCCTCAGAGTTAGAAGAACATCAAATAAATCCCAAGAGTGTTTCAGGGATGTTTTAAAGCAGGTGCTTAGTGTGGTAGAAAATGTTATCTTCTGTGTGTGCTTTAAATGATACAGCCCCCAGTGCAGTTGAATTTCTGAACCATAGCAGAAACTCAAGTGCAGTAACTGTTAGCTGGTCTTCACCTAAAAGTCTTCTGGATGGATACATTATTTCAATATCCAATGAAAGCGTAATGAAAGAAGAAATCCTGCCATCCACAAAGAGGTATGATACTATTCAAAAGAAATTATGTCAGGTTACACGGAACAAAAGATTATCATTGTATATATATTTTTATAAACTGTGTAAGTGGTTTAATATAAATAGAAATTAGAAAACATTTCAAGACAACTTTTTGGACTATAATGTTATAGTCCAGTGTATCTGATGTATGGAGCTAAATTTATTTCTGCAAATAGATAATGATGACTTATTTCAGGACATTGTCATGCTTGTATGTGTAATACACACTCTTTGATTTACATAAAATTTCTCCATGTACAAAGCTATGACTTCTAATTAACCATTTGTGCTTAATTAAGCCCAGCACATTGTTTCCATGATAGGCAATAAAAACAGCACTTATGTATAAAATTCTTCAGGTAGTGTGAGAAAATAGAGTTTTCCAAATGTTTCTGAGCTAAATATCTTAATATGTGACTTTTCTTACTGTGTAGGACATTCACATTTGATAACCTTACTCCAGGGACTGACTTTTCAATTAGCATTTTAACTACCAAGGGACTAAGGAGAAGTCATCCTACTGTCCTCATGGTTAGCACTTGTAAGTTCATTTTATGTTTAATTAACTTTTAATGGGTAAAAATAAGGGGAATGGTTGTGTTTAAAGCCAATATCTAATTTTAAAAATGAATGAATCTGGAAGTGGTTTATGACATGCTTGAAGAGAATGAGCACTGGGTTATATTCCTGCTTCCTTCCCTTATTTATTATGTGACCATGGGCAAAACTATTATGTTCTCACTTAGAAAATGAGAATAATTATTCATGCCTAGGTATAAAATCCTGTTACTAAAATGAAATTCAAAGTTCTCAGTGAAAGTTCAAAGTGCCCTAAAACCCTAGGGCACTATCATTATGAAATACACAATATTTTTCTAACATCCTGACTGTATCTATAACATTTCATGAAAAACCAAACCAAACCTTGGAGTATGATAAAAATAGATGGCACTATGTTTTCAGTTGCATTTTAGGATTCAGCTGTCCTCTTCTGACCTTATTAGCATCACTTACATGTATGAACATATTCAGATGTTGCAAGGAGCCTTGTCCCTTGTGGTCATAGTTGCATGAATATGTGCTCAAGTACCAGTGCTCTAGGGGTATGAGGGGAGGCTTACTTCCAGAATTTGCCCTGGGGAGGAAGAAAAGGCACTGGGAAATGCAGCAACAGTCAAATCAATTTCTGGAAAATAAAATAAGAGTTTTGAGTATTTATATACCAACGCGGTACTGTGTGCTTAAGTTAACACCTTGCATCTCCCCAGATCACCTAACATGTAGGTATCATTCAGAGGCGTCCCAAACGCGTTATTTAAGGCGAGAGTTAACCCAGGTACCAAAGTCTACAACTGACATGACACTGCGGCCTCATGAAGACCATTCTAAGGAAACATCAGAAACAGATGAGAAATGGTTTCACTTTTTAAAATGATAGCTCGTTATTTTATTTCCGTGAAAGCTCCTTAGAATGCTGCTTAGATAGGGTTGAGTCCCAGCTGTCATCATCGTCCCCAGCCTTGTCGTCATCACACTGAGTGCTTGTCCTTTGTCAGGCACCTCGTTAGGTATTTCTTAGGATTTATATCACTTGATTTTCAAGGATGACTTTTATTCTATAAATCATAATGTGATGCCTATGTTTTACAAATGAGGAAACTGAGGACTAGAGACTTTCCATCACTCATACAAGATGACGGAGAGTTGAGCCCACATTTCCCTGACATCAGGGTCTACCTTGTCACCTCTGTGCTTTAGTGGAAGGGCCACTGTGTCGTAGGAATGACAGACTTCCCAGTCTTGGCTCTATGACTTTGTACAAGTCATTGTTCTATTTGGACCTCAAGTTCCTCATTGCTACCTTGGGTTCAGTGATATTCTCTGTGTTTGTTTTTAGAGGCTGTTGTTTTGGCTTTATTGTCCCAGATAAGGCTGGTCACCTTTATTTTTTTTCCTCACCCTTTTTACTTTATAATTTCACTTATGTCGTTTTTTATACCTCCCTTTCTTGAAAACCACCTCAAATCCATTTAGAAGTAGATGGGATATTAAAAATTTACCAAATAGAGCTACAATATATTATGAGAATGTGGGTGGATAATAAATTAACTCTAGTAAGAAGGGAATGTGCATTACCGAAAAATGAAATAAAATGGATTGTGAATCAGCAATACAGATTTGATTCTGAGCTGAATTCTAATAAACAAATCAGTATGTAAATAGGGACAAAAATCTCATGCAAAACTTGAATTTAGAGATGAAATTTTTTCAATAAAATGTTAATATTACATTTCTTCCAGTTAAGGAAAGCAATGCACTGTTTCAATGTGAAATATATATTAAAAGTAGAAACATGTGACTGATTAGAAAATAAGTTTCTAGAACCTTCTCAGAGAAAATGTTTAAAGGAAAAAGAAATTTGTGAACTTAAGGAAGTTCTTTTTTAATGCTGTACCATAAAGTTTTAAGTTAAACATTCCAATTGTAATAACTGCATACTGAATTCTGATATCAGAAAAATACATGTGAAAACTCATAGTTCATGTAATTTTATTGTGGAAAAAGGCTTTCTAGAAAACTCTTATTTTTTTCCCATTGAGGAGAGGCTACGGAGAGACTCGGAGTAAATAGCTTGCAGAAGATCACATGGTGCTAAAACTGACTGTAAAAACCTAGAGATCCTGTCCTCTCTTCCACAGTGCGATTGTCCAATGTTATCAGTCCAGTGTAGGTAACATAATGGCAGAATTTTTAGAGCATATCTTTTTCGTGTTTTATTTTATTGCCCTAGATCCAGACCCACCATCAGATTTGCTGATTTTCGGACAGGAAGAAAACACAATATATCTGTCTTGGAAACTCCCACACGGAGGCTTCGAGAAGTTCCAGGTAAAGAACCATGCTGCTGTCATACCACCTTGATGTTGGCTGAGGTCTTCATTTTACTCCTTTTTGTCCTTCGTTTTACGTGAGTGGTTTAGAAATGATAGTACCATTCCTTTCATGTAAGACATTCCTCCAAAGCAATTCTACCTACTGCTTTAGAAGTACAACGTTGTCATGGGAGGTGTTTAGATTTAAGTAAAAGCTGATGCGTGGCTTTTTATGAGTTTGGATTTTCAGTGGAAATAGATAGGTGCATGCCTAATACAAAAAAGTGAATAAGGAATAACCGGGCTGAGGATAGTATCCCTGTGACCACACTGGCCGGGACAGTTCCAGACGTTAGAGCTGGGTGCGGTGCCAAGATGCCCTCTCTGCTCAGTCTGCAGACCTGGTTAAGAGTGGGACTTCCAGCCCAGAGGGTAGGGGAGTAGGCTGTGCAGAGGGGACACTTTTCAGCTATGCCTGTAAGATAAATGTCTACATTTTCATCACTTTTTGTCATTAATAATGTAACCTGGTACCATGTAAGGACGTATTATACACACCCTATATTGTATGGTTTGCAGAGAAAATAAGCTTCCAGGGACAGCAATGCTGCTTTGTATCTGGGGGGACAAACAACTTTTTCATACTTTCACTGTGGTAGGAAATGGCTGTTTTAGTTGAAAACAATAGAAAGCATGCTGAAATAGTTTAAGCAATAAGGAAAAATATATTGTGTTAACACAAGTGTGCCTCATGGAGGCCAAGGAATAGAACATGACCGGGTGTTGGAAAGAACTGGAATCACATATTTTAAGCCCATTGAGAATCCAGGGATTATTTTGTATTTCTTATGTTTGTCAGCCTTAGTTTTTTTTCTATGTTTTTATTATTTTATTTTTTTCCTGATGACCAACTTTTTCATTTGAGCAATCCGCTGGTGCATGGAAGAGTGCCATACACAATATCCAAGTACAAATGGTGCATTAGCATCCACAGAGAAGACCAGATTCATTCTAGATTCCTAAGGAAAGGATTGTGATTATTCCAAATTGTGTCAGACACCCAGTTCAGTGCCAGTGAACAGTGGCTGTAGGTCCCGCATTATGTTAAAATGGTGACCACAGGTCTGTGGATGATAGGGCGTGTAAAGAGAATCGTTAGAACAGTAGAAGGTGTTTCCTGGAAATAAGAAGTAACATAAAATTTTAATGATTTATAGAATTGATACAGTCTAAAAGGAACCAGAGCAGTAAAATCACTAGACACTTGAAATAAAATAATTAGTACGTCTGGGTTTTATATATGAGTATGAATTGCCTAACAGTAAGGTCAATAAGAGAAACAAGGTAATAGTCATTATATGACAGACCAAAAACCCACCTTTATTACAGTACCTGCTACTAAAGACAAAGGGTAGTGGAAGGCAGAATAATGGTCTTCCAAAAATCTACAGCCCAATTCCCAGAACCTGGAATATGTGTTAGATTATATGGCAAAGGGAAATCAAGGTAGCAGATGGAATTAAGTTTGCTAATTGGCAAGTTTTAGAATAGGAAGATTGTAGTTTATCTGGGTGGTACAGTGCAATCAGAAGGACCTTAAATGTGGGAGAGTGAGGTCACATGACAAGGATGGAGGGAGACCGCACGCCGGAGTGTGCGCAGCATCTGGAAGCCAGGGGAGGCTCCAATGTTTGTGAGTGGGTGTCGAGATAGTATTGTCAAAGTCTTCTGATTCACTTATTAAAAGGATATATCCTGCCCTGGCCAGTTTTGCTCAGCAGTTGGAGTGTCAGTCTGTGGACCAAAGCGTCACGGGTTGGATTCCAGTCAAGGGCACTTACCTCGGTTGCGCTTTGGTCCCCGGCCCTGGTCAGGGTCATGCAGGAGGCAACCAACTGATGTGTCTCTCTCACATCAATGTTTGTCTCTCTCTCTCCCACCCTATCTGAAAAAGAAAAGGTGGAAAATAACCTCAGGTGAGGATTTAAAAAAAGGATATATCTTAAGAATCTAGATAGATGAAAAGGTAAATACTCTGAAGGTCTCTGATAATTTTAGTATTCTAGGCCAGCTCTTAACCACAATTTGACAGTAGTCAATTAATGGTTGAATTCTTTAGCAAGCAACTGTTAAGAAAAAAGTCCATGCTGCTGGATAAAGTAAGAGCAATTTAAGATATGATTTTTTTATATTTAAATACTTTATTTTATTGGGCTACATTTTCAGTATGAAAAAATTTAAATATCAGAAAAAGTAACATGAACACTCATATTTCCACCACCTAATCAAAAGTTGTAAATGTACATAGGTGTGTATACACACACACACACTCTCTTTATATATGAGTGTGTGTGTGTATATACATATATATATACACACGCATATGTATATATATATAGTTTTGGTAGAATCATTTTATTTTATTTTGAAATCTTTTTTGTTGAAAGTATTATAGATGCCCCCCCCCTTGTCCCCCATTCACCCCCTCCTCCCAGCCCCCTCCTGCCTTCCCCACACTATTGTCTGTGTCCATTGGTTATGCATATATGCATATAAGTTCTTTGGTTTATCTTTTCCCACCCAAGATATGATTTTTAAGGGAATAAAATATATCTTTTTGTTTTCTCCTGAGGCTAGAATATCCCCCTACTGAAAATCAACACCTACTATAAAATGTCCCGTCTGCTGAACAAGAGTGTATGCCATAGGCTGCCAGTGTTCTACAGTTTCTTTGGTGTTCAAACAATGGTAGCGATAGTATCATTGACTCTACAATATTCTGAATATATAAAATTCTATTTTAAAATAATCATGGGCTAAGCCTTCTGGTTTGTGCAGTTAAATTATTTTTAACGTGTTTAAACCATCAAACTTCAGCTTCCATTTGGTAGCTTCACAATGGAAATAAACTGTTTATCAATATGTTGACATAAGACATTTGCCACTTCTGATCAAGATGGTGGTGTAGGTAAATGTGGTACCTGACTCCTCCCACAACCACATCAAAATTACAACTAAACTACAAAACAACCCTCATTCAGAACCATCTGAAATCTAGCTGAATAGAAGTCCTATAACTAAGGACATAAAGAAGAAACTATGTCGAGACTGATAGGAGGGCCAGAGACACAGAACAGTTTGGTCCCACACCCACATGTGGTGATTAAAAGTCTGGGGGAGGTGTTGGCTTTGTAGGTCCCCTCTGAGGAACGTGGGTCTCAGCCCCACACCAGGCACTCTAACTTAGGGCTCTAGTGCTGGGAAGAGAAATACCCAAAGTTTCTGGCTGTGAAAACCAGCAGGGAATTGTTGCTGAGAGACATAATGGACTCCGGGAGTTCTAGGCATCCCTCTTAAAGTGCCCACATAGCCTGACTCGAACTCACTCCCTCTGACCCCCAGTGCTGCGGCACTAGAGAGATATGGAGAGGAACTGAGTTGTCTGTCTTCAAAACAAGGGCTGGGGGGGCAGCTTTCTCCCTGCAGAGGTGCTGGCAGAGGCCATTTTTCCTTTGCTGAACCCTTCCTCACACAGGTGCCATGTCTGAGTCTCCATCAGCCTGACTCACACAGTTCACCTTGCCCTGATGATTCCCTGAGATCCCGTCTCACCCAAGCTGCAGGCCCACTCAAGCCTGTCTTGATTCATGCTGTAGACTTTCCTAAAATCCCTCAAAGGTTTACAAACCCCAAACAAGCAGCATCTGGACTCAATGTGCCCCACACCTCTTGCTAAGCAGCCCATGCCTGGTGCTAACAGCAGCTGGTCTTGGTTTGCAGCTTGGCCTCTCTTAGGCAATTTAAGCTGAGCACAGGTAGCAGCCATCTGCAGATTGCTTTGTGGCTCATGCTGGGTGGCCCCAGGCAGGGCACAGCTGACAGCTGATCCTGGCCTACACCTCCAGTGGGCAGCTTCAGACCATGTGGAAGCATCACCACCCAGCCACTTTCATAAGTGACACCCTCAAGGAATGAGCTCACTGGGCACCAGAGCTCTACTGAGACAAGTCCTGTTCCGTGGGGTTGGCCCCTGTGCAGTAGAGCCTCTGCTGTGGTCACTGCCAGTCCTTATAGCTGATCGGCCTGGGGGTAAAACCCTTCCATTGACACATCATAATTAAAATGCCAGTGGTCAAAGACAAAGAGAATCTTTAAAGCAGCCAGAGAAAAACAGTTCGCCTCATAAGACTGCCAGCTGATTTCTCAGCAGATACTTTGTAGGCCAGAAGGGACTGGCATAAAATATTCAAAGTGATAAAAAGCAGGGATCTATGGTCAAGATTGCTCAGCAAAGCTATCATTTAGAATTGAAAGACAGATAAAGAGCTCTCCAGACAAGAAAAAAAGAGTTCATCCCCACAAATACAGTATTATAAGAAATGTTAAAGGGTCTTCTTGAAGAAGAAGAAGGAGGAGGAGGAGGAGGAGGAGGAGGAGAAGAAGAAGAAGAAGAAGAAGAAGAAGAGGAGGAGGAGGAGGAGGAGGAGGAGGAGGAGGAGGAGGAGGAGAAATGTGAATAATAAAATAGCAATAAATACATATCTATCATCCAATGTTCATTGCAGCATTTACAACAGCCAAAATATTGAAACACTCTAAGCATTCATCAACAGATGAATGGATAAAGAAGTGGTGTATATATACAATGGAATATTACCCAGTCATAAAAAAGAATGTTGTTGCCATCTGCAACAACATAGATGAACCTAGAGGATATTGTGCTGAGGGAAATAAGTCAGACAAAGACAAATGCCATATGATTTCACTTAAATGTGGAATCTTAAAAACATAATAAATGAACAAGCAGACCATAAACAGACTCAGAAACAACACTTTAATGGTTGCCAGATGGGGGTGGGGGAAGTGAGTGAAAAAGGTGAGTGAGGGGATTAGGAAGTACAAATTGGTAGTTACAGAATAGTCATGGGGATGTAAAGTATAGCATAGGAATATAGTTGATAATATTGTAGTAACTATGTATGGTGTCAGATGGGTACTAGATTTATTGAGACAATCACTTCATAAGTTATATGAATCCCTAGGTGCTGA